TTCCATGGCCCCAAAAACCTTTAGTTACACTTGTTCAAAAAGAATCACGTACTCTGCAGGAAACCTAGGGTGACCTGAAATTTCTGACTTCAGATTCGGATTCAGCATACCCAAAAGCTTTAGAAACTGTTGAGAAAGCCCGGGTGATTTTTGAAATCCTAAATTTTGTTGTACTGTGTAATTTCTGATTTTAAGTTTTTTTGCTTGTTGCATCAAACATCACTAAAACTGCAGCAACAATTGCTTGCTTGCACACTACTGTGTCACTACACTTGTTGCATCTTTGCGAAAGTTTGGCTGACATCCAAAACGTATCAATACAATGTTTGGAAACTGTTATACTGCGGTATTCAAACTCTTTGTATATGCAGAGTTGCGACCCATTGCAACCATATACATTGCATACTTTAAACATTCAATTTAGCAATCAACAATTTTTCTGAATTAAATAAACAATTGGGTATTAGTATTGGGAATCTCCTGCAGATAAACAGAGTTTTCTGGTAGAAAAATATTGCTTTTTAACTATTCTATACTATTTCCACGAAAAGTTGCCTTTTCCCATATCAAATACATGGAAAACTTTATGCGCTTTGAGCGACCTCTAAATATTTTTTGATTTCAAAATAAAAAAATAAGGGTATATTTTTTTCGGTATAGAACAATCCTAGGGGGTGAGAGCATAAAAATTCCGACTTTGCTTTGTCACATGCATTTTTGGACCACCCTAATGCACATACATACCTATATAAAAAAAAAATTATTTATTAGTGCAAAAAGTAGTGGGTAGGCACTGTGGCCAATGATGTCCATCAGTTACCCCCTCTGTATTTAGGGATGCGGGATACCGTTACGGTATCGTTAGCCAGTATAACGGTTAATTTATATCGATAACAGGAGTTGCGATATGACATCGATACCAGGGTTGCCACTGAAAAACTTTCTTTTCTACCAAGAGCGGTTTCAAAGACCTACCAAAATGGCAGCGCTTCACAGCATTAAACACATTTATTTTTCCTGGTTTTTATACTTAAAATAAGATATCCAGTAAATAAAAAGATCAGAATATGCATATAGCATACACAAAAATTGTGTGTGCTTTTAACCAGACACACCTTTCGACATGTATTTCGACCGACAGAATCCGAATCTGAGGTCCGTTTGATTTCTAAACCCTCAAAATTTCGAGTAAATTTCGAAAACCCGAAATAGTGGCAAAAAATTCGCAGTTTGTAGTTTTAATAAAGCCTTCGGAGCAAATGACGTGAAAACCCGTAGCGGAAAATAAAATTCCGTCATATATTTTCTTTATCGCTCATTTGCATGCATACATCAGTGATCGGACTTTAAAAAAATTCGGTGTGGTAGATTCGGGAAAAATATGTGGTAGATTTCAAAAAAATGTGGTAGATCTCAGGTTTTAGATCAAACTTTGTACAAAAATTAAACAAATTTTGCAGGGTTTTACCTAAATTGCAAACTGTTTAATTAGACTCTAAAAAAAATTTAATTTTGAAGTTGCTAAAAATTGTGTTGAGTCTTGGCAATTTTTCTTCCTTGACAGTGTAAGCAGTTTTTTCCATATCAATATATTTTTCGAACATATTTCAAGAGATTTCTGCAACCTTGCGGAGTGCTGCCAGCTTTTCTTTTTATCACATCACGATGTAGAGAACAAATGTGGCATTTTCCAAAAACCGCTACTTGGGATTTACCGATTTTGACAATTCTCAAGCAAAAATAAACAACGCTTTAGAAACTTTATATGAACTGAAATTTGCTATTACTTTCACAAAAATCGCCGTTTTTTAACATTTCCACTATTAATTCTTTTTATAAATCATATATTTTGCAATTTAACACAATAACCACGTTTCCTGTCGAAAAATCTATTATTGAGAACATTTACTATTTTACAGTTTATTTTATCCTCCCATTCGGCTTTGTTTACTTTTACTTGAGAAATTTCATCGCCGCCGAGAATGCAGAATCTCAAAATCTATATATATATATAAACGTTGGCAGAATCTTGTATTACATCATTCTTGTTACCATATAGTGTTTAGTGCTGGACAATTTTTGCTCTTAAAATTAAGAAAATTATGTCGACCAAAAATAAAGCTACTCAAAAACGCGAATATGTGGTAGATTTCAGACCTTGAGTAGTAGATGCTCAAAAAAGTGGTAGATCTACCACAATCACTGGCATACATATATTATGAAGTGAGTACATATACATATTGCTACCTAAAGGTGAAAAGGTGCGAAGTCAACATATTTTTATACCCGAGCGCACTTGTGCACAAGGGTATATTAATTTTGTTCACATAACGGTTGTTTGTAACAGCCAAAACGAATCGAGATAGATATAGACAAATGTATACATAAATGATCAGGATGAAAAAAGAAATCGATTAAGCCATGTCTGTCTGTCCGTCCGTCTGTCCGTCTGTCCGTGTACACGATAACTCGAGCAAAAATAGAGATATCTCAACGAAATTTGGTATGTAGGTTTCCCTTAGTCCAAGGTAGGTTGGTATTGGGCGAAATCGGACTTTAACCACGCCCACTTCCCATATAACGGTAATTTCCAGAAAACGAAAACTGCGATATTTTAGTAACTACTGAAGATAATTCACTCAAAATTGATATTTACAATAATTTTTAGACGAAAAATAAGAATATTATAAATTTTTGGAAAATGGGCGTAGCCACGCCCACTTATGGTTATATGTGTATATCTTGGTAACCGCTGCACCAATTTCTTCCAAACTTGGCACAGTTGTTGGCCTTCGCATAACATACCAAATGACTGTAAATTTTTAAAATCGCTCAATAACCACGCCTACTTCCCATATAACGGTAATTTTCAGAAATACGAAAACTGCAATATTTTAGTAACTACTGAAGATTATTCACTCAAAATTGACATTTATAATAAGTTTTAGACGAAAAATAAGAATATTATAAATTTTTGGAAAATGGGCGTAGCCACGCCCACTTATGGTTACATGTGTATATCTTGGTAACCGCTGCACCAATTTCTTCCAAACTTGGCACAGTTGTTGGCCTTGGTACAGCATTAAAAACCGCCGAAACTTTTTAAAATCGGACAATAACCACGCCCACATCCCATATAACGGTAATTTAGAGAAATACAAAATCTTCGATAAATCATTAAATATTGAAGCTAATTTATTCAAAATTGATGCTTGCAACAATTCTTTACCAAGAAATACGTTTATGGTAAAATTTTTGAAAATGGGAGTGGCACCGCCCACTTATGATCACATATAAGTATACCGGTAACCGTTCTACCAATTTGTACCAAACTCGGTATGGTTATTGTACTTGCCACGTGTAAGCAAAACGTTGAAAATTATTGAAATCGGACTAAAATAACGGCCGATTCTCATATAACGGTAAATTTAAGAAATGCTTGAAACTTCAATATTTCGAAATTGAAGGACGCTAATTTACTCAAAATTGATACACCTCGGCTTACCATCTAGCGGAAGGTTTCGGAAGGGTGAAAAAACATATATTTAATACTTGCGCCAGGTATTTAATGTTCGGCTCCGCCCGAACTTAGACTTTCTTACTTGTTTTCATTTAGTTTGTGATGCAGAATGATAGATAATGCGAAACTACATCGATTTTTGATCTCTACTGAACAAATTCAAAAAATGGACTTGACACCTTTTCACCTTTAGGTAACGATATATTCTTTAGTAAGGTAAAAATAAACCTCACGGTTAGGCTTGCCAAAATCTGCGCGCTGCGGGTTTGATATTAATTTCTTCGAGTTGCGGTTAAAAACTTTCAGATTCTCCAATTTACTGGAAATATGACTAACAATAAGTGGTTTTATTTTTTGAATCACTCTTCTACTGCCATTTGAAATATTTTAACAACCTTGTCATTGTTGAAACTATTATCAATTCGCAAATGCATCCATCAATTCAATCACTTGATATTTAGATACGAAGGGGATACGACTTTTTTTACGAAAACACAGTTCAGAGAATTGCCGAAGATAATTGGTAGAATTCTGCCTATACTAGTAAGCAACGAGGTCTATAAATGAATGAGGGTAAAATTGATATTGTCAAAATTTGGCAAGCCTACTCACAGTGATGACAAAGTGAAAAATTATAACAAGCCAGAGATGTTTTCTGTTTTATGAGCAAAGAAATCTACCAAAATTTTAAGCGTCCTACCATCCTACCAACGAGAAAAAAAACCTACCAATTTTGGTAGGAAAAGCCCAAACGGCAACCCTGATCAATACAATATTTTGTTTCGATATCTGAAATACCGGAAACTTTTCTTTATGCCCTCTGTGCTTTTGGATGAAAAATAAGATTATTATTATTAAAAAATGTTCGTATCCGCAAAACAACTTTTGTTCAAATTAGTTTTTTTTTTTATCAAATTAACGTGCGCGATTCGGAACTTAAATGAGCGTTTATGTTGTTGATTTCATTGATAACATCAATTTATGTTACGACTACTAAATTATTTTTTATTGAAGACATATGGAAGATTATATGTATTTATAAGTATATGTAGTTACATACATAAAGTCTGAAAATACAATAAAATACATATGGGCCATTCCAGCGAAGAAGACACCTCAGGTAAAAAAAAAATAAATTACATAAATTGTGTTTAAATCAGTAAAAACCAAATATTTTTAATTTTAACCAAAAAACCAACAAGTTGTAATCGTCCTAAAACAATTTTAACTATACTCACGTATTTTTGTTCGTACCTCTAACCGTAATTTACAATGATTCTTTATTTTTCAGGTTTTCCAAGCTATAAAGATTAAAAATAATAATTAATGTTTGAGTTTCAATTTTTCGTTTAATTGATTTTTATTTTTTCGATCAAAAATAGATTATTTTATAATTTTAATTTTTGTGCTCAAAAATAATAATTATTATTGAATTTTATTTTTTTAACCTAAGAATAATGATCATTCAAAAAACTCACAAGCTATACCAGCGTGATTTCCGCCGTATCCTTTTCCCTAATAAAGGGGATAGGTCCCAAAAATTTCTGGTCAAAATTTCAGTAAGTTGCCACTGTATGGCCTTTTGAATTTTATAAACAATCATTTTCTTTTTAATGGAAAAGTAAAACTCAATAATATTCCGTATTCCTCGGACTAAAACTAGTAAAACTGTCAAAAAATAAAAATTCGCTCAGAGCGAGAGAGTAACATTGAAAAGTACGGGATCGCTTTCTAGTAAAAAATTGTAACTACTGTCAACTTCAACATAACCTCCAAATTTAGGTTGTAAATTTTTGCTTATTTTGTACGTAAACACACTCAAAACCTTTCAAATTCATTAGAATCCACTTATACAAGTAATTAAATACTTTTCAACATGAATTAGCAGAGTGCACTTTTCTTTTGTTTACAATTTGGTTGCCAAACACACAAAAGCTGATCGTTTGACACATTTACCAGAATTTACCAGCAAAAAACTTGCGGACTAAAACTGGTAACTTCTGACAAAGCGAGAACCGTATTTACTCTCTTTTTAGTCCTCTCAATAGTCTGAATGATTCTGACTAGTCCGGACTCGTACGGGATCGCAACTATTATCTCTGAGCAAAAAATATAAATCATAAAAAAATCATTTTTTGGGATCGACAAAATAAAAATCATTTTTATTGAGCGAAAAAATATTAACCAATAATAATTATTATTTTTGAGCGAAAAAAAATTTAAATCATAAAATCATGATTTAAATTATTTTACTCATAATGATTACCATCCCTGGTAAACACAGGTAGAATAGAAATCTGGAAATAGATTTTTATTGCTTGATTTTTCACTATTTTCTCTATTTTATTGTTATAAATACATATCGTTGCCTTAATATAGAAAGGCCCTATCTGACATCGTCGCTGATTTACAAAAAGTCGTAACTAACTAAAAATCGAAAATTTTCGTTTTAATTGATTATGATGCATTTGATCGAATTATGTGGCCTCACATCGTTTTATGCAATAAAAGATTTTAGTTAGTTACGGCTTTGTGCATTTCAGCGACGATGTGAGATAGGGCCTTTCTATATTAAGGCAACGATATGTGATATTTTTGCATCAAGTTTTAAGGGCATTCCTCATGTGCTAAAGATGACAATGCAAAGAATAATTATCCAAAAAGAAAGAACCATTTGTGAGCTTTAAAATGGAGGTAAGTTATTAGAAAAATGCATTTATGGTCAGAAGTTTTAAGCGTTCACAAAAATGATTTTCGGATGTCCCACCCGCCACAGCACAATATGTATTTTTGAACGTGACACACAATTTCTTAAGTTTCCCATTGTTTAAATGAAATTGTTTAAATTAAAAATTTAATAAATATTCACATAAAACCGGTAGGGTTAATTTTACTCATGAACTATGCGTAAAGGTGACTCGTCCCACCCGTCACAAAATGTTGTCCCACCCGTCACAAGCAGTGATCGGACTTCTACCACGTTGTGGTAGATCTGCCACTTTTTGGAGCATCTACCACACATGGTCTGAAATCTACCACATATTCGCGTTTTGAGTAGTTTTATTTTTGATCCACATAATTTTCTTAATTTAAGAGCAAAAATTGTCCAAAACTAAACATTATACATATGGTTACAAGAATGATATAATTCAAGATTCCGCATTCCCGGCGGCGATGAAATGTCTCAGGTAAAAGTAAACAAAGCCGAATGGAGGGATAAAATAAAATGTTAAATTGAAATATGAATATATGATTTATAAAAAGAATTAATAGCGAAAATGTTAGAAAATTACGATTTTTGTGAAAGTATTAGCAAATTTCAGTGCATCTAAAGTTTCTAAGGCGTTGTTTACTTTTACTTGAGAATTGTCAAAATCGGCAAATCCATAGTAGCGGTTCCTGAAACGTGCCACATTTGTTCGTTACATCGTGATGTGATAAAAAGAAAAGCTGGCAGAACTACGCAAGGTTGCAGGAGTCTCTCAAAATATGTTCGCAAAATATCTTGATATGGAAGGAACGGCTTTACACTGTCAAGGAAAAATATTTCCAAAACTCAACGCAATTTTAAGCATCTTCAGTCTTGCACTTTATTATATTAAAATTATTATTTTTTTAGGTTCGAATTAAAATGTTTGCAATTTAAGTGAAACCTTGCACAATTTTTTTTAATTTTCCACCACACTTAAAATCTGCCACTTTTTCCAGATTCTACCACATAGAATTTTTTTCAGTCCGATCACCGGTCACAAGCTAAAATAATTTTTTTTTTTTTGTATTTTAAAATATAAAAGTGCCATTAAAGCAGAAAATGGTACTTAATATTCTTGCCATTTGAGAAAGCCGTTGTGAACGAAATATTTATAGGTTGTCCGAAATTGGGAAACGCATCCAACAAATCATAGAAGCGGGTGTCATCGTTGTCCCACCCGTCACGCTTGGAAAATGTTAAATTCCTGTGTAAATGATATAACTAAGTTTTATACATTATCAGTTTCGTAATAAACTGATATGACTTCAAGTGTTATTAGTTTGTGTGTTGGTGTTGGTTGATTTTTCCGACAGGGTGGTAAGATGATTTATTTTGGAACGAATTTCCGTCATCCCTTGTCAAGTTTGGTTTGCAGACAAACCGGTTTCGGCGTTGTGCCATCTTCAGTGTCATTTTTCGTTCTGTCTGGTTCGAGATTTGTCCCTAATTTATGTTCATTTATCTTAGGTAATGTGATTTTCGTCGATGATTAATTACTAGATATGCCATGGTGCCCATTTTTTGAAGCAGGTAATAGGTTCATCTTCGCTGTTTCGATATTAACATGCATTATGTTGTCGCTGTATGGTTTTTGCCTGCAGGTAGGTAAAAGTCAGTGATTTTTGCCCTGGTGGTGCTTTTTGGTGTGTTCGGAGTGTCCATGCCT